AAACTACTCCAAAGTCAAAATAAATATATGCTGACCAACATAATGCTAGGGGAAATCTAAGAGTTTGCTGCAAAGACCAGAATACAAGAAAATTGTAAAGTAAAATGGATAATTTAATTTATGCAATGCAGTAAAAGAATGGATTTATTAATCCTATCATATCTCACTCATCTAAATATGAGAAGAAAATTGAGCATAGTTCACTTGAAAAGGGGAAAACTTCATTCCTCTTAGTGTTATCAGTGTCCAAAACAACAACTAACATGGGCAGTAAAAGAACCTTTTAAGTGTTAGCATTAGAAAAATCCCATTTTCTCAAGAGCAGCGATAACAACATGAGAATGCTGACCCACTCTTTCACACAGTGCAGCCCAGTGCTTGTTAGGCTCATTAAGCTAAGGATTGCTAGAGAATGCAAACATCTTACAAGGGACAGAACCCCTTTGAATTCACAGTGTTGCCTCACACTCCGAATGGAAATGAAATACTTTCTACATTTTCTAACCTTGCAAGTTTTTCATCTTGTTAAAGGGGAAGTCGTTCTCGAGCAATCCAGTTGCTGTTTTGATTATACTACCTGTTCATCAGCTGGTTTTCTAGAACCAGACTTGAAGATCACTGTTAATGGCAGCAGCAATTGTACAGGGAATTGATTATGGAGACATAAGTGGGAAATTCCCAACAAATTACCTTTTCTTAAAGAAGATTGGAAATTTCCATGGTTAAAAGCTAGAGCACACATAAAATGGTGACCTTTGTCATGTGATTCATGGTGATAAAAAGCAGCAGCAATAATACAAAAAGGTCTAAATTAAATTCATTCAATAGATACAGATGATGCTCTTTTTCCAAAGAATAATGACTAATAAGTGCTCTGTGATTCGAACATTCTCATCATAAATTGCAACCAGGTAATGATTGGAGTTAAGCTTTTCCTCTGACTGTCATGTCCCCTGATTTAATATCTGTAATCACATAGAAGTGAAGGAAAAGGTTAATTTAACTCTGTGTGTACTATTAATATAATTAGAGCAATGGAGCTGTATATAATGCCTTAAATGAATGCATGGCTAACTTCCAATATTCCTTATTTTATCCAGGGTTCCATGAGGCTTACTTCAAGGAAGTATTGTGAATCACCATAGTCACCACAAATGAAACTTACAATAGCCAAATTATCTGAATAGTCAGAAAAATTTCTCTCAAACCTCTAAGTATGTTAAGAGCATCAGTTAATTAAATAGTAGCTCCCTTAACAAGTTTCTTATCAACAGATATGTTAATTTCCATGTCTATGTCTTAAAATGTAATTCCATAAGAATTTAAGTTACCAAAAATAAGCCTTTCTGTATTATTTTCCTCATTAACATGACAAAAAACTCTGTCAAAAGGGTTTATTTTGGCTCACAACTTCAGAATGGAGTCTGTCATTGTGACCAACTTTCGGCAGTTGGTCACACTGCATTTGGTTAGGAAGCAGAGTAAGTTGAATCAGGACATCCAGATCACTTTCTCCCTTTTTTCCCAGTTCTACATCTCATCCCATGGAATAGTATCTCTCACAATTAAAGAATGTCTTCCCCTTACTTCAATTAACTTAGTGGGCAGGCATAATATCTTCTTATAGAGAGTAGCCTATTATAGATATTCTGTCACAAGCATTTGCTGGGGCTTGCTCCTCAATGATTCTAGAGCCTGTCAAGTTGACAGTCAGTACAGCCATCACATGGTCCTACACATGGTATGTATGTATGTATGTATGTATGTATGTATGTAATATTAACTTCAGAGATATTAGTGGGGTATTGACTAAATACCGATGATTATCAGCTACTAAATTCCCACAGATGTCTGTCACATGACTAACATGTTAATTTCTTAGCATATCCTGCCTCATCTGTAAAACTAAGGGTAAACTCTCACATTTCCATGTTCATAGATGACCAGACTAAGGCTGGAGTCGAAAGTATACCATACTTTGTGTATATCTATTTATATTATGAAATTAGACATCTTTTTAAAGGAACAGAGTAAAAAATGATGAAAGACAAATGAATAAGTGAATAAAGAATGGACACAGAAATTAATTAGATTGCATACTCATACAACTTTCACTTGTTTCTGGTAGATCAAGATTAAAATAAGTTATACCTGGAAAAACATCACTAGGAATATTGTTATATTATAATATCAATTGAAGTACTTTCAACTACACCAACTAGAACAACATATTCAGAAAATAATTTCATTGGTTTAGAAAATACATAGTGACCCTTGAGAAAACAATTTAATAGCTAGTGCCTTCTCTATATATGTTGAGAAATGTTGGATGTGTGGAGGTCTTTGAACTCACAGATAAGCACTAGGGAAACTAGGAAAATTAAACACAGAGGTTATTCCTTAAAAGGAAAGAATACATGACCTGTTATCCACATAGAAGGCTGGGAGCAGATGTGGTTAATAGCCTGGTGACCTTTGCACTATCTGTGTGGCCAGGACCACATTGGATCCTCCCAGAAACCGTTATCATAAGCTTATATTTCTCAGTCAGTCATAGAACTCATCTGTATTGAAGGCACCACACGTACTTCACAAAGACCTTCCATGTAGTCATGTCTGATCTCTATTTAGCTTACTCTGTGCTTTATTGTGCACATGGGATTGAATTAATTATCACCAGAAAAGTTTTCACCTAATTGGGCAGTGCTAGTATGTCTAAAATAAGCTACTTGGGTCCAGACTCCCTAAGTTCAAGCCAATCTCAGCAACTTAGTTGGGTTGAACCAAATTACCTTCTTGCCTCCTTTGGCTCATTATTCTTTTGGCCATGGTTGTCACAGAGACCCCCAGAGAGAAATAGTAGAAAAATTAATTCAATATTTTCTATATTTATCACTTGACTTATAGCATATTACTTTCTAATTTCACAAAATTACCTTTTCTGAGATAAAATATGAATGTAGACCAAATGTGTTATATTCCACCAAAATTTAGTGTATATATTATATATATGTCAATATAAGTTTCAAATTACGTTCTATTGACAGATTTTTCATGTTTAATCACAGTTAAAACACTCAAGATAAAGTATTTGAGATGAGAATTCATTAACATATGTCTAAATACTATGACATAGCCAAAACATAAGGAAGAAGGAGTGACAGTATTTTCCAAAAGTATTTCTTGAAATTTCTTCTCATAGCAGTGGAGAAGCTTCAGTACCTACATTGGGCAATGAATCCAATATAATGAAATCCAAAAAACATATTTGTTTTTTTATTCTTATAATAAATTTAACAAATTAAGTCATGAGTTAACCTTTTGATGTTGATGGGTTCTTAATTTAAACCTAACCATTTTGTGGAATGAATATTTTAAATTGATATAATTTTACTATATCTTAGTATGTGTTACTCCATATACTTTAAATTAAAGAGTTTGATTTCTTTTATGTTATACCTAAACATAAAGTAAAGTATCTTTTAGCAAGTTGATCAATGATTTTCAGGACAAGTATAAAAACTCAAATAACTAAGCTACGAAAGGTTACAATAGACTATTGCAGACTATATATTTCTCTCTTGAAGGGTTAACTAATACTTTACTGTGTTGTCTGATCTGATGATATTTTCCTGACATAGTTTTGTGTGGGAATGATTCTTAAGTTTGTGTATATTCATGACACTGGCAAATGTCCTCCTGAATTTATCAGGCACAGGCTACCAGCAATGTATTATCAATCCTTATAGAAGAATATTGCCCTGTTCTTAACAGAAATAACAGAAAAGTGAGGTATACAGTTCATCTTCAGGAACTAAATTGTTCATTTTCCTTCTAAAATATGTTCTTATTGATGGTAAATACGTTGAGGGGTAGATGAATAGAACATGGTCCTTTGTGATGCAGGTTTTAACACTCTTTACTTTTATGCTTAAAAACTAGTGTACCTGCTAGGTATGGGGACACAATCTCCAAACTCAGCTTCTTGGGTTCCTGAGACAGCATTATTTCTAAACTCAGAGTTCCTCGGCCTACTAGTAAGGGTGAAGCCAGGCCCTAAAACGTAATGATCCCTTCTCAACAAACAAAAAGCCTGTAAACTCACTAAGTTCTGAGTTCCGATGCATAGAGCTGCGATTGCAAACAAAACACTCAGGCAGGCAGGCACACAAGATTTCTACCTTTCAGTTTGCAAGTTGACTCTATGCTTCTTAAATCTATTTTAATTGTCAAAAAAAGCTTTCTAGCAATAGCTCAGCTATTCTTCGAGTGAGTTCATATTCCCTAATATGACATTTTTAAGTTTAAACTTTCCTCATTTTCAGAAGCACATATTAACAGCATATTTAAAAATATTAAATCTGTCAGTTGATTCATCTGCCCACCAGTGAACCTTATATATTCAATTACTAAAAATATAATGAGGAAATAGTGAGTTAGTTGCTGAAAATGTGTGATGTTCAGTATCAACAAGCTAAATAAAAATAAAAATAAATACGTGATTTAAAAAATACTCCTGGTTGTGGTGTACTCCTCTAACTTTAACACTCCTTTAATCTCAGCACTAAGGAGGCAGAGGCAAGTGGATCTCTGTGAGATTGAGACCACCCTGGTCTATGTAGTGAGTTCGAGGATGGACTCCAAAGCAATACAGAGAAACTCTTTAAAAAAAAACAAAATCCAAACCAAAACATACAAGTTATAGATTTCTCAAAGACACAGAAGGAAATTCAGCATTGCCATCACTTGGTGGGTGTCAGTTTTCAAATGAGTGGCTGCTTCCACCTCCCTCTATTCTTGTCAAAACATATCATGCAAAAAATTCTAGAGAGGCTTCTCAAGTCAAGAACCTATGCAAAGCCGTTAGGGCTAAAATAGAAAAGCCTGGCTAAAACGGAGGAAGTCCTGTTACTTGTGAACAATTAAATGTCTGCTTAAAGTAATAGTCCATTTACTGCAAGATAGGTACTTAGTGTATCAACATTATTCTCTTTCCACAGGTAGCAACCTTGTTGTTCAGAGAGCTGTTCCCCAAATACTGGAGCATGATAATAGACACCATGTATGTGTTGCTACTTTTTCATTGAGTAAGTCATGGCTTGATAGGCTCAGTAAAGTATCACCTGGACTTGATACACAGGGACTACATTAGGTTTCCCTCTTCTCCATGATACGTTTATTGTCCGAGAGCAGTCACTACCTGTATCATGTTGTTGTTGAAGTGGATGGAAGAAACGGACCTGGGGAGATGATTCAGACAACAGTGTCATTGCTGTGAAAGATGGAGACAAGTTTTTCTCTACTTCTTTTAATTGAAAAATATTTTCATACCATATATTCTGTTCACACTTTTCCCCTCCCCAAACTCCTCCCAGACTCTTCCTGCTTCCCCATTTCCCCATGAGCCTAAATCCATGCCCTTTCTTACTCTCTCTTTAAAGAATAATCAAAAAAGGAAGAAAGAAAAAAAGAAAAACAAGAAACACATACAAAGAAGTATACCCAGCAAAAAACCATAAAAACAAAATCCAAAATGTACAAGCAAATGACCAATGAAGCAAAAATTGTCCAAGTAAACCTAAACAAGACAAAACAAAAAAACCCTCTATAAAATTACCATTGAGGTTTTTTCATTTGCTTGTTTGCTTTTTTTATTTGTATGTTTGTATGTTTGAGTGTTGGTGAACCACTCCTGGGCATCAAGCACACCCTCAAGTGTTGTTTATCTGTCCAGTAAGACTCCATTAGAGAAAACTAATTTTGATACTGAAGTGGTGCACATTTTTAACCGCAGGGCAGAGGAAGTGCAGACAGATGGAACCCTGCACTTGACTTCCCTGTAAAAACTGGAAATCTTGCTACATAAACAAAGTTTATGTTATTTGAGAAATACCACCTGAGAATACCGCCTCTGATCTATAAGTCTATGTGTACACATGTGTATGTGCATTCTGAACACATACAAACTTGCACCTAGACACAACACAAATGTAAGTATATACACATTTACAAGCATGGATGGCAAAAATGGAAGTGTGAGAACAAAAAAAAATGTCTATGAACGTATTTGATAACTCCACTTTGCCATGTCTGCTAATATTCCACTGGGCAAGATCCCTACTTGAAGAGTAGTATGCTTTATTGATATTTATTCTTCTTGAGGTGAGGAACAGAGGGATAATTTCAAACACATTAGGAACTCTCTTGTCCTAGGAAGTTTTACAATGAGGAAGAATAAATGACAACCAAAAAATTCCTGTGGACATGGAGGTTGCATTCTGCAACTACTAATATTAATCATCCTAATGGTATGTATTATATTTAATTTTATTGTTACATTAATGCAATTGTATTATTTCTGTATTTTAAGTGGAACATTGTGATAATACTATGTTAAGGAATATTTTATTCTGGTGGTTCACTGTTCAAAGAATACATTTTCTGTTAAATATAAAAAGAAGGTAAAAAATGAATTAAATGAATGACAGATGTTTTAACATGAACTTTTAAATTAAATTGATTTCCAATAGCCCAGAAACACAAATGAAAATTAACTAAAAACTAACTCAGTCCTGTTTAGGCAGTAGACTCACCAGTGAAAGTACATACTGAGAAATACCCTTTACACACACAGACTTACATTGCTTAAAACACAAAGATAATCTGATTTGGAAATAAAAAATCTGATAGAACGAAGCAGAATAGGTGGGAATACATGAAGCAAAATGAAGAGCAGTTGTTCTAAAAGAACATGTGATTTAATTTTCATGGTCTATGCAACAAGCACTATGCTATTTTATCCTTTAGTGGTGTCATAATCAGCTAGCTTTCCAGGAATTAAAATATTCCTTCTCGTTTCTTTCCTTTTCCCAGGTGGCAGATGGGATGCATGCACTGACCTCCACTACTTCAGTGCTGAAATTCTAGTGAGTTCTGATGGTCCATTAGCCATTGCCTTCTGCCCCATTTGATAAGGCATTTACCACTTTGATGCCCTCACAGTACAAACAAGGTCTGTTAATCAAAGCTTCCCTGTTCCAGCCTGTGAGAACCCATCATCATTGCCACAGTTTCAAATCTGGTGCACAACATTACCACTTCATCTTGTTCCCTTTGATCCTATCAGCCTGACACTTTGATCCATGCATTGCACCAACTGGATTAATCAAAGCTTTTGCACTTTTAGTTTTGATGGGAAGTGACAAAGATTTCTGCAAGATAAAGGACTGTTATTTTTTCCAGTTTGCTTCTGTTGAATTATTATTATGAATTCTTTCCTATATAAATTTGACTCTGTAATATGTTTGTTAATTTTATCAGTGCTGTATTTAAAAGTGTGTGTTTTTAACTAAGGCTCTCCAAAAGCAATTAAATACATCCAGAGTGGAGCTGTATATCTCATAATTGTTTAATGCACCATGAGTGTTTAATCAAAGCTCTCAGTACGCCAGCATCTTAATGGAAACAATTACTGATGTGTAAAGTAGCTAAAGCAACTGTACTGTTATGAACTAGAAGATTCTATAGCTCCATCTTAGGGAAACACTATTAATCTAAGTCTTCTATTTAAAAGTATTGTGTTTGGTTTCACCATGACATTCTTAGGAAGGTTTCTGTGTGTGTTCTAAATATACTGACTGTTCAATAAGAATTGAAGAAGTGCTCTCACTTTGAAGGCAGTTTTCTCAATATTTATTTCTTATATTTACTTGTTTTGTGAAAAAAAAAGGAGATAAAAGTCACACAAGAATGCCAAGTCTCTAATTTTCTTAATTCTTAATTATAAAGCACTGGTAATATACATTTCTCTACTTTTTTTTTTTTTTTTTTTTTTTTTTTGGTTTTTCGAGACAGGGTTTCTCTGTGTAGCTTTGCGCCTTTCCTGGAACTCACTTGGTAGTCCAGGCTGGCCTCGAACTCACAGAGATCCGCCTGGCTCTGCCTCCCGAGTGCTGGGATTAAAGGCGTGCGCCACCACCGCCTGGCTCATTTCTCTACTTTTAAGAAGGCTTTATTCACTAGTTCTGTGGTCCATCGATGTACAGTGAGATAAAAGTTGGTCCCCTGGAGGGAACCCATCCAGTAGTCTACATGAGAAGAAATAACATTATCAGTGAACTTGCTACTTGAAAGATATGTTGGTAACATTATTTTCCATATTGATGGAGGAAATGAACAATTAAATTGCAGTTCTCACCTTCTCAGAAGCTATAGCTATGAGAAGAAGGATGATTAGGAGAGAAGCCATTACCAAGAAACATAGCCAAGAGAGCACTCTTAACATTTTGGGGGTCTAGATGCCGCATGGAAGAAGCCAGAAATTTCAAGGAAACTAAGGGAAGTTTCTCACTCAAAGAAGAGAAAATAAAGGCAAGAAAGATTATAAGGCATGGGGCTAGGAATGTAGCTCAATTGGTAGAGTGTATGCAGGGCAGACGTAAAGTTTTGAACTCAATCACCAGCATTGCCAAGTTCAGCTACTGTGCTGCACACCTATAAACCCATCACAAAGGAGGTGTAAGCAAGAGAATTAAAAGTTCAAAGTTGGGCCAAGGAGATGGTTCAGTGGGTAAAGGCACATGGAGACAATCCTAATGAACTGGTTTAATTCCTGGATCATATATGGTGTGGGAAGATGACTGACTCCTAAAGTTATTTTCTGACTTTCACAAGCCCATTGAAGCAGAAGCATGCACACACATGTGCACACACACACACACACACACACACACACATATATATGTAGAGAAACACACATTGGCCAACACAGAAATCCCCCAAAAAAACACAAAACCAGAAACTATAACATATAACCAAAGGATCTATAGGATAAGAAATAAAAAAGAAAACAAACACTCAAGTCATTAGGGGACAACAAACAAGCAACGACAACAAAACAGCTCCAAAAATACCATTGTGATTGTTTTCTTTTGGCAATCTGATTTACATATCCATTGACACTCCATTGGAGAAAACTAATTTTCCATTTGCAAATGGTTAACAATTGGTGATACCTTCTAGGTTAGAGATATGGGTTTGTGTCTACTTCCATTCCTAGCCCTGGAACCCCATCGGGTCCAGACCCATGCAGGCCCTTTGTATGCATCGCAGTCTCTGAGACTTCATATGCGCATACTCTCAATTCCTTTTGACTCATAATATTTCTGCCTCCTCTTCCATAAAGTTACTTGAGCCATGAAGGGAGGGATGAGATGGATACACCCCATATAGGATCAAGTGTTCCCAAGGTCTCTTACTCTCTCTCTGCATACTTCCCAGCTGTGGGTCTCTGTAATTATTCCTATATACTTCAAAAGAAATCTTTTTTGATGATGACTGAGAAAGGCATTGATTTATGAATATAGCAGACTATTAGTAGTAGTCATTTTGTTGCTATGTTCCTTTAGCAGAACAATAGTGTTTGATTTTCCACTGGGTCCCTGAACTGTTAGTCTCAGGTTCTGTGCCACCCAAGCAGTGTTGATGAACTCCGTCTCAGGGAGTGAGCCTAAAATCTTATCAGATGTTGTTTGGTTACTTCTACAAGCTTTCAGCCACTATTGTACTAGCATATTTTTCATGCAGGTCAGCATTGTAGATCACAGAGTTTATAGCTTGGTTGTGTTTACCTTTCTGCTTTGGCTGTGTTCAGAATATCATTCAGTAACCTGGACACTAGTCAACAGGGATGAAGACTCTAGGTAGACACAAGCTCAAATTCTACATGTTAATTGAGTAGTGTAGGCGTTGTCTTTAGTAATACGGTCTTTCCCAGAGTTTCTAGAGAGCAACCAATAGCCTTGCTAGTAATCTTGGTTGTTTGTGGGTTTCCATGGGGGCCCATCTGACCACCAACTCTATTAGATGTAACCAATTCCTGAAACTGAAGTCTTTGTTTGGCAATAAGAGATGTCCAGCTGGGGCTCCATCTTCTCTGTTATTTGGCACTTCCATTTAGACAGTGTTTCTATTTCAATATATTTGTACATATTTGAACATTTGTGTTAGGTTTCTGAAACATTCCTCAAATGACCCTTATTTTTAGCTGTCCCTCCCCATATTATCTCCCTATCTTGCCTATTCATTCCCCATCCTTGTTTGATCCTCCTATTTATTTCCATCATTCATCCTTAAGTGTCTATTCTATTTCCCCTTCAGGGTGATCAAGTTCCCCTGCCATTCCTCTACCTTTTATCTAACCTCTTGTGTTATATGGATTGTAGCCTGCTTATCAAAAACTTGACAGCGAACATCCACATATAAATGGATATATATTATATTTATCTTTTTGTGTGAGTTACTGTGATGATATATTGTGTATCAAGTAAAGCTTGCCTGGGGATCAGAGGACAGAGCCAGCCACTGTATTAAACACAGGGGCCCAGTAGTGGTGGCACACACCTTTAATCCTAGCAATTGGGAGACAGAGAGTCAGACTGATCTCTGTGAGTTCAAAGTCACCCTGGAGTACATGAGATTGCTTCAGTCTAGGAGACAAACAGAGCCAGTCAGTGGTGGGACACACCTATAATCCCAGTAGTAGTTGAGAGTCACAAGCCTTTAATCCCAACACTTGTGATCTCATGCATTTGCTACCAGTATTTGGGAAGCACACATGTCATTAATCCCAACACTAGGAATGAAGTGAAATTGCTGGGCGGGGAAAGGCATACAAGGCATGAGGATACAGGAACTAGAAAAAAAAGAGGTCTTTTAGGCTGAGGACTCAGAGATATTCAGTCAGAGGATTCCTGGAGTTGGCAAGGTGGGAAGTGGTTGTGGCTTGTTCCTTTATCTCTCTGATCTTTCAGAATTTACCCCAATATCTGGCTCCAGGTTTTTATTAAGACCAATTAGGATACATGCAACAGGTTACCTCACTCAGCATGATGTTTTCTAGCTCCACCCATTAGCCTGAAAATTAAATTTTTAACATCTTAGTAATATTCAATGTACAAATGTATCATATTTTCTTTACTCATTCATATGATGATGGAGATACAATCTGTTTCCAGTTTTTGAATATTAGAAATAGAGCAACAGTAAACATGGGTGAACAAATGTCTGTGTAGAGGGATGAAGTATTAATTGGTTATATGTCCCAGAGTGGTGTATCCAGATCTTAAGGTCTATTAATTCTTAGCTAACTGAGGAACCTCCACTATGATTTCCATAGTGACTGCGTTAGTTTGCACTCCTACCAGCAATAGATATGCATTCTGCTTACTCCACATCCTTGCCAGCATGAGTTGTCATTTGTTTTATTGATCTTGGCTATTCTGACAGGTGTAAGATGAAATCTCAAAGTAGTTTTGATGTGCATTTTCCTGAGGACTATGTGCTTCTACGCTGTTTGTGTTTCATCTTTTGAAAATGCTCTGTACCTCATTTTTAAATGGGTTTTTTACTTGATGCCCATATTTGTTTAGTTCTTTATATATTTTAGATATTTGCCTTCTATCAGTTATGTAGTTGGTTAAAGTCTTTCACCATTCTGTAGCCTGCTGCTTTGTCTGAATGAAGTTATCCTTTGCCTTGCAGGAGGTTTTAAGCTTCATGAGGTCCCATTTATTAATTGTTCTTAGTTCAAGTCTCTTGTTCCCTTTCTCTTTTATCTATTCAAGATATCTAGTCTTATGTTGAAGTCTTGGAGTTGAATGATATGCAGCGTGGTAGGAATATGAAACTATTTACATTTTTCGACATGCAGCCATTCAGTTTGAACAGTACCATATGTTTAAGATGTTGTCTTTTTCTATTGTGTATTTCTGGATTCTTTATTAAAAATCAGGTGTCCATGAGTGTGTGGAATTATGTCTTAATATTCAATTCAATTCCATTCATCATGGTGTCTGTCTTTATGCCAATATCATGTTTTTTTTTTAAAAAAAAAACTATAACTCTGTGATTATTCTAGCAGTTCTTT